CAGTGGTGTTTTCACACCTACACATTTATCTTGCTTAGCCTGCACCAGCGACACACCCTAACGGGAGTCTTCTGGACACTATAAGTCCAACCCCTGCAAGACAGTTGCACCTTGTACCAGAGTGGGATGAATCCTATCAGTGATAATTGCCCTGTTAGGGCTCGGTGTGATGTTGCCTCCCTGCTGAGCCGCCATGGGGACGGTCATGAATATATGGATGAACTCTGCAGAACCTCCACTCGTAGGCAAAACCACCTGCAGGCCTGTCTCTGCAGATACACACAGTCCACCGAGAAGGGCACGTGGTTGTGGCTGGTGATGGCTGATATGTGAATGGAAGGACAAAGAGGACGGAGACGGTCGCTTCACTGGTGGACAGACTTTTTTCAGGGTGAGTGCCGATGACAGATGGATGATGGGTATATGTGTCTGTCCAAACCATCTGTGTTCAGTGTATTCACGCTCTGTTTACATATTGGATAGTGAAACACACAGAGACACAAGGCAAACACAGTACGAGTGAACGAACCACACACTGAACAAAAATACTGGAGGTTTTGAACTGGGACTGTAGTAGCTAACATTAGCTCTGGTGTCTGTACCAGGACTGTTGTAGCTAATGTTAGCTCTGGTATCTGTACCAGGACTGTTGTAGCTAATGTTAGCTCTGGTCCAGCTAACAGCTACCAGGACTGTTGCTGCCTGTACCAGGCAAAGCTGCCCCCTGTCCACTTTGGTGATGGGTTAAAAGCAGTTGCAGTTGTGCACACATTGGTGTGCTGTGTCACAATGTCAGATAATTCACTTTCACTTGTTGCTAATGTCAACTCTGGCTGTCTGTGCTCAAGATAAAACCAGACAGAGGGCGGTGTACCTGCTGAAACATGTAACTCCCTGTTGGGTTATTGGAAGATTTCATTTCATCAACAAAACACAGACAATAATGTACGTTCAAATCCACACCGTATGCAACAATTAGAGAGTGGGAGTGAGTGAGACCTGGGCTGTCATGGTAACACTGCTGAGTGACCTTCAGTGGTTGTTAATGCCCCCCCCACCACCACCACCACCAACCCCTCCAACACGCACACAAACACACGCACACACACTAAGACCCATTTTGCTTGGCAAGGACTTTGTGAAAGACCTGCCTCCCATTTTGCTTGGCAAGGACTTTGTGAGTCATCAACAACATTCAAATTCACATGCTCTCTCTCGCTCTCTCTCTCTCTCTCACATACTCACATACTCACGCACACACAAACACACACACTCTGGAGGTTTGGGCTCATTAAAATGGATAAGCAAGAAAGAGAGCTGGGGGGTGGAGGAGTGTGTGATAGAAATAGCAACGACTGAAGTGACTTTAAGAGCTCTTTTCCAACCAGACCTGATTAGTTGATAACAAATCATCTGTCAGAACAGCCGGCCCCGTAGTAAATGAGTTAAGGAGTAAAAAGGAACAACCAAGATGGGAGGATTCTCCGTGTTGAGTGAATCCATACTGTGAGGCTGTTACATAACAGTCACCAGTGACACAGAAGAAGCTCGGCAACAACCAGACAGGAGGTTGACTTGAACAGTCTTCACCTGGAGGATCTGCAGCAGGATTTCCACTCCGACCTCTGGCTGTGCCACTGCTGCAGCTCAGTGAGCACAAGCTTGGAAAAGACCTGAAAAACACACCAGAGCCATGGTGATAGGCCAGCTGCCTCTGAGTGTCATCACGGAGTGATGGAGAGGCAAGCTAGGACACTGCCACCAACTGGAGGACAGAGGGAACTGAGCCACAGCAGAGAGAGAGAGAGAGAGAGAGGTGAATATATTATCCACTCCTTAGAGTCCAACAGTCTTTAGAGCCTTTCCTGAATTAGATGGAAAAAAAAATTATAATTAAAATATCTAAATTGCGTAGTGAGATGATAATTTAATTTAGTTGTCGTTTCTTCGCTGTAAGGTTAGGGACTGAGTCGTAAGTTCTACTACAGATGTCCAGACGGTGTCTTATTCATGACCAAAACATCTTTAGACACATACTCCAACACCCTTGACAAGTTTAAACAATGATCGTTGTCAGGCTTGTTACCCTTTATTTGATCAGGTTTTAATTAAACCCTCAGAAAAGAAGCTTTGAAATCAGAACAAACATCACATTTTGAACCAGACTTCAATGAAAAAACATTCACGTAATTGAAGCTCGTGTACAGGTTTGGATCCAGTTCAACTGGATTTCTTTTTTCTTTAAGAAAAGGAAGAACATTTGAGATGAGCAGGTTTTCAGTCTTAGTTGCGATAAAGAAGCAGATTGAAAAGTAGAGTTTAGACTTTAGATTTTCATACTATATATTAGGATTATTGTCTTGGAACTAACTGATGTTCCCATCTTCCATTGGAAATCTATACAATCTAAATACACTAATTTAAGACACTGATCACATGACAGGGATTCTGGGTAATTTCACCTTTCACTTTCTTCACCTTCTCATGACCTGCAGGCTATTCCTGCATCAGACCATGACATAGGCATAATACTCCCATCTATTCTACTGTATAAAGTCTGATTTAAAATTGTACATAACAAAATCACATTTTTAGAAAGTGCAAAAACCACTGTGTAAAAAATGGAAAATACAAAATTTTGATCAAACCGAGGGAGAGAAAATGAACCCAGTACCTTGAGCAGAAAGTACGTCTGTAGTGTCATCATATCATTTCAGATAATGGCTTATGAGAGTATTAGGGCAATTTGGGTGCTGTCATTTGTAGCTAATTTAAGGGTAAGAGATGGAAGAGGTAGAAAATGTTCACATATACTTGATAGCTGCTGATAAATGTACTGTAATAGCTGCTGCATGCTGTACTTCTCCCTACTTCTAATGGAGAAAAAAACTCAAAATGACGTCTTTTTTTTTGTCACAGCTTCCATTCGTTCTCTCTCATTTGTTTAATGCATTATTTTATTTCTGTATTTACGGGAAAATACAGAGAATGATCGCATTGTATTAGGAGTCAAAGTAGTTTTCAAATATATATATGTATATATATACAGTATATATATGTATATATATATAAATATAAACATATACAATACATATTGTATATATATATAAAAATGCACACACCCACACATATATATAAACATATACATATATAGACAGTATGTGCGTGAATATATATTTACATATATAGGCATATATGTGTGTATATGTATATATATTCACAAATGAGTTAAATTTAGAGCGCGATTTCCCATAGGGAGTTAACTCATACCACCAAAATACCACCATGAGGTAGAAGGGTGATACTCATGCTAACACCAGTGTGCTAATACTGCTTGTCCTCTGCACCTTGTTTTTGCCAAACGATATTCAAATCATGCCATTTGGTAAATGTCACGTCTCTGGAACAGCCTTAGTGAAATCCTTTACCGTTTGTGAGCTGTTAGTGTCCCTTTGACTTTTACAGGACATTTCCACAAAGGGCAGCTCCACATGTGGACTAGGTGTTGGAGGAAGAGCCAACACGTGTGGCCCTGTTACCTCAGGGTTACTGCACTCTCTCTCCCAGTAACTGGAACTGTTGTTTTTTTTTAACATTAATGGACGATTTTGAGGCTGAGAAGAGGAAAAAAAAATCTGAGGTAATGTTGAGCAAAGGAAATTGTACAAATATGTCCAGTATCACTTACCCCATCTGCTCCCCGACTTCCTGAACAATTCTCCTGCAGCACACAACCTGCAGATGGAAGGATATCAGACAGAGGAGGGGGGGACAGAGACAGCTGATAATGAAATACGGATATTTGTATTGGAAGAACAAGATAAAGTCTTGTCCAAATCAACAAACAAACTCACACAGCCTGATGCTGATCACGGGTCAGAAAATCCATTTTAACCAAACTAAAGACGGAGATCAGCGGTGCAGAGGTAATTTCCTTTGCCATGGTTGACATCCAGCAGCGTCCAAGCACTTTGAGATCAATTTTAAAAGCTCCCAACATCTAAGAACCCACAACACAGGGCTTAAAGCACCCGTTGGCTCAAAAAATGTTTTGCATCAATTCCCTTTCTTTAACGGTTTCTATGCCTCACCTTGCCTTCTACAAGGACGGGCAGGAACAGTACCTCAAAGAGTGCAGGTTAGCCAGTTAGCTAGTTAGCTTGTCCTCCAAGTTCTTTGTGCACTAATCTGGCTACTCTGTACTTGCAACACAGTATAAACACATGATATAAAAGTCTCTGGGGTTGCCAGAAATTTGTGATGTCAAAATACTGAGTGTGAATGATTAGTTGATCTCTAGATGTGACCTGGTGATGGAGAACGGTCCAGGTTGATCCCAGCCCTCCTCCTGTAGGTGTCGACGCCAGCTCCCACATCACCTTCAAAAGGGATTTAGCGGTGAAAACGACAAACATAAAAAATAAAAAAAAAATTTAACATTCTTTCTGTCAGTCACATTTCCAAGTGCGAAGCAGTGTGTTAACACACTGCACAATGACGCAGAGACAAACAACACTCACATGCTGCAAAACCAGTAATTTACTGAGGCACGATGATGAGACGGAGAGGATTTTGAAATTGTGCGATCTTCCAGCGTGAACTTCAAGCTGGTCGAAAATCATCTGTGAATATATCGTACATCATAAATCCCTGCAAGTTCCTATAAAAATGCTAATGGGGATTAGGGCTGGAAAGAGT